AAGGCAATGCCACCAGGGCCTAACAAGGCAAACATATCACCTCCACCTAAGAGTCCTCCGCCAAAGGCGAAAGGAACAGTACCTTCTGCTCCTCCGAGACCAAAAGGTCCTACCAGAAGAGGAGGTCAAAATCGGCGTATTCAACGAAAGGCAGCCAGAGAAGCCCACAACAGTGGACTCTGCACCTATGCAGACGCTGCACTTGACGAAGCCAATCAAGGCCAGGCAATTAACGTTACGTGCCGAAACATAGTAGCAAGACACGTCAGCTCTATCGATGCAACGGTAGAAGCAGCCGGCCAGTTTACACAACGCGTGCTACAGCACGTAGAAACATATGATGAAGAGGAACCGTGGAGCACGGAGTTCCTACCAGTCGTGGAAGTCCTATTCAGGAACCTAAGCGGCGACGAAACAACTGTCATACATGACAATCAAACGGTAACTATGCCTCTTGCGAAATACACAGACCTCCTCAGAATCGCACAATCATTGCGAAGCTCTATCCAGAGAGACAAGGAGGAAAGGAAGGAACATCTTGACACCATCCAAGATACTCTATCCAGAGTGGAAATCCTTCTAACAGCACTGAAGGACTCAAGGACAGTCTTTAACCAATTGGTCCATTCCTCACTAGAGATAGAGCGAAGAAATAACAATCTCAAAAATGTCCTCGAGACACTCTTTGACGACCAAAGCTCTGAGGAAGACCAATCAGAATCTGACAATGAAGAAGTCCTAACTCCTTCTGCACCACAGTACTGCAATAGCCTTTATGCCCACGCCTTATCTCCTTCAGGAGATGAAAGTGAAAGATCATGGGCGTCCTCAGACGGACAGCTTGAAAGAAGAAGGGCTGAACGGGCAAAGGCTAAGCAGCCGCAACCGGCAAAAGCCAAGGCAACTCCAGTCAGCTCACAAGCTGCTCCAAAGGCCGAGCCAAAGGCGACAACATCCAACCATGGATATGATACTGCAGACGCCGCCTTCACCAGGGCTGAGAACAGATTACTCGGAATCTTTTCAAGTTCCGAAGAAGATCACTCAGACCCGGATGAGCAACATCCGAATGTCTATGCTCGAGCCTATGATCCAAACCTGGATCCGAATCTGAGATAAGAAAATTCTCAGAGTTTCACAACAGTGAATCACAAGGCTCTAACAAGAGCACAATGAAGGGCTGCATAATTCGGTAGTAGAACATTACCAGACCTGATCTTGTACAGATGATCTCTCTGACCAATATGCATGAGTGTGTGTGCAAAATGAGTGGAGTGTCCTCAGCAGTGTACTTCAGTGCTATACCTAGCATAAATAATATGCTGTTTTTATAATGAGTCCAAACTCCGCAACTGTGACAGTGGGCATAACAGTATATGTGTGAATGTGCGGCCATGCTTCCGGTAAAAGAAAATTAGTGTCTGTTTGAAACCATAAACCTCTAAAGGGTAGCTCTAACAGGTACCTACAGCAATGGCTGCATGCTCATACATATACATTCCGCTGCCCATTGGCTCACAGTGGTTTTACCATATTGAGACAAGACAAGCTCTCCTTGCGTAGCAAGACAAAACAACTACTGTCCGTGTGCAGGGCGCTGCCCTTTGATCCTTAGGGAATAACTGGTCATACACCTCCTCACAAGGAGTATCCCTTGGGGGTGTATCGGCACAGGGGGAGGGGGAGGGAGGGGGGGGGGAGGGGGGGGGGGGGCCGAGAACGCACAGCGCACAACCATATATGCAGCCAGTCTTGTGAGAAACAGCAATGCCTGTTTTCAGTAGGATGCTGAGGCGGCTGCTGCTGCTGTTGCTGCTGCTGCTGCTCCTGCTGAACGATTCGGGTGCACATGAAGGCATGATGCAGGTCATGGTGGGAGGGACCGGAAAGAGCAAACTTGCAGGCAGAATCTGTTTAAAAACCATGCCAGCAACTGTCGAAGTACACATTCCGGATTTAGGACTGGTTCCACGGGCCGCCGTTGTGGATCTGGTCGCTGGGCACCGCCATCTCGCCGTTGACGATCTCCTGCCACGCTGCCACTGGCCACGAGAAGCCACTCGCCATGCACGTCACGGCCAAAGGCACGTCAATGTTGATCTCCTTGGCTGCGTCGTTGGTGCGGATCAGGTAGGAGCGGCCAGCCCAGCCGATCCAGCCAGCGATGTAGAGGAAAATGGCCGCAGGCCACATGGCACTGCCCCTCACGTTCCACTCGCCAGTGGCGATGGTGCGGGGCAGCCCGTCCTTCTTGCCACAAAGCCTGTCGCCGTAGGCGGTCTCACGCAGCTCGATCATCTTGATCTTCTTGTTGAAGCGAGCATACGCCGCGGAGCCCTCGGCAAACTTCTGCTGATTCTTCTTCACCTTGTACAGCTCATCCTTGAGCTTCTTGTGGAACTTCTTGTTGTCCTTGCAGGGCTCCAGCACCGGGGAGGCCTTGATGGTCCAATGGGCTGGTGTGTCCTCCAGATCGATGTCCACGCCGCCGAACATCTCCAGAGGCTTGGCACTCGCAGGAGCGCTGGAAGACACTGCCATCACCAGACCGGCCAGAAGGCCGGCGGCTGTCCACTTCAGGAACGATGCCACAGGAGATGGCTCCGCAGCTGCCTCGGTGCCTGTCACTGGAGACTCGCTGAGCCCATTGGGCAGTGCCTTGCTGCTCACCTCCACCCCACGCGTCTGAGCAGATCCACCGCGGGGGCCCACTGGCGCAACGAACGCAACAGCGGCCGCCAGTACGGTGGCAGCCGCGACGCAAACCAAAGCGTTGCCCAGGCGCGCCATGGTGAGAGACTAGCAGCCAGTGCTGGACCTGCTGCCGTGTCTAAGCCGAAATCAACGTGCAGACGGCTGTTTCCCTCACGTCCGATGGCTTCATGGGCTCGTTCTGACTTGGCCAAACGAAACGATTTGCTCTTTTGTCGCGACGACGAATGACACGTCATTACATCATCGGGAAATAAGCAACTTGAGATGCCTGTCTAGAAACAACACTCTTCGACCTCATGCTGTACAGCGAAAGAAGCTTCAAAAAGGAGGATGTTGGGCTGGCTGAATCAAGTCTAACAAACTGGCACTAAGGCTTTAGGACTGGTTCCACGGGCCGCCGTTGTGGATCTGGTCGCTGGGCACCGCCATCTCGCCGTTGACGATCTCCTGCCACGCTGCCACTGGCCACGAGAAGCCACTCGCCATGCACGTCACGGCCAAAGGCACGTCAATGTTGATCTCCTTGGCTGCGTCGTTGGTGCGGATCAGGTAGGAGCGGCCAGCCCAGCCGATCCAGCCAGCGATGTAGAGGAAAATGGCCGCAGGCCACATGGCACTGCCCCTCACGTTCCACTCGCCAGTGGCGATGGTGCGGGGCAGCCCGTCCTTCTTGCCACAAAGCCTGTCGCCGTAGGCGGTCTCACGCAGCTCGATCATCTTGATCTTCTTGTTGAAGCGAGCATACGCCGCGGAGCCCTCGGCAAACTTCTGCTGATTCTTCTTCACCTTGTACAGCTCATCCTTGAGCTTCTTGTGGAACTTCTTGTTGTCCTTGCAGGGCTCCAGCACCGGGGAGGCCTTGATGGTCCAATGGGCTGGTGTGTCCTCCAGATCGATGTCCACGCCGCCGAACATCTCCAGAGGCTTGGCACTCGCAGGAGCGCTGGAAGACACTGCCATCACCAGACCGGCCAGAAGGCCGGCGGCTGTCCACTTCAGGAACGATGCCACAGGAGATGGCTCCGCAGCTGCCTCGGTGCCTGTCACTGGAGACTCGCTGAGCCCATTGGGCAGTGCCTTGCTGCTCACCTCCACCCCGCGCGTCTGAGCAGATCCACCGCGGGGGCCCACTGGCGCAACGAACGCAACAGCGGCCGCCAGTACGGTGGCAGCCGCGACGCAAACCAAAGCGTTGCCCAGGCGCACCATGCTTGCGAAACTACGAGGGCCACCTGCCTTTGAGAAACACCCACGTCAGGCAATGCGCAGTGCCGATCAGCAATCATGCGGTCCGTCTATGCGCTGTCACAGGTGTGTGCAGCCTGTGATTTTCGAGCTAGGCTTGTTCTACCTTGCACCATTGCTGCATGCTGCAAGGGTTGATGCTGCTGATGGACAGTGCCCCGAATTGGGATGTGGCCGGTGTGCCGCACCCACAACCTGTGCCGCGGCCGACTTTCTCGTGTACGAAAAAGTCGCAGATTACTCCAATGGCCATTTTTGGAAAATGTATACTACATTTTCTATCCTACCATCGACAGAGGAGACTCATCGGTTTCATTGCCAGTCGCATTCCTTCGGCGAAACTTGACATTGGATGAGGGACTGTGTGCTCCTACTGGATCTTCGTCCTCATCGTCAGTCAGTATCCCCGCCCTCCTCCTGCCTCCTCCTCCTCCTCCTCCTTCTCCTCCTCCTCCAACTCCTGCGACTCCTGCGACTCCTCGCCTCCTCCTGATCCACCTCCTTGTCAGAGGCCGCCTTCGCCAACACCATTTTTTGGGGCATCAGCCTCAACATCCTATTCGTGTTCTTTATCATGATGCTGAGCAGCCACAGCAAGCAGCAAGTGCCGTTGCTGACAAGACGGATGATCATGCTCGGCCACATCACAAATCGTGCAGGCCCCAGGATCTGCCGGATGACATTCGACTACAGCCCGCATCTTGTGGTGGTACGAGGTGCAGGGTAGAACAAGCCTAGCTCGACAATCACTGGCTGCACGTGTCACAGCGAGTATTCTTTTCTTGCCCATATGATTTCATGCGCCAGTCTGAGCCATGATTCTGGCTTGGCGAGCACCAACCTATGTGTCAGAAAGCCTTCGAAACGACCAGCAGCCATCCACTAACTGCTACAGCTGCTAAGGAACGGCCTCATGCACTTACTTCAAGAATTCAAGCACGCTGTCCTACACCAACGCTTGCGATGCCTTCTGCTTCTGAGTGCACGTGTACCACAGTACCATCTGTGTCTACACAATATGGTCACGGAATGCCTGCACCTCACGGTGCTGCACCCAGAAGCTCACGCTTCATATCGTTGCACCTCCCAGCGCAAAGGACTGGAGCACTCGGCAAACGCAGCAGCCTTAATGCCTTGATGTACGCCTCACATCGTGGAGCCGCATGCCCATATCGAGCCCCGAGCTCGTTGGAGATTCGGCGAAACATTGTGCGCAGTTCGTCTGCCTGTCCATTCTCACTTCGGGAGCAGCTGCTTTTGCAAGACAAAGGGTCATGCAGGCGGCAAAGATGCCTCCATTGGGGCCTGCGACTCGAGGAGGCCACTCAGTGCCTTCAAAGAAACACTGCGAAGCCGAAACAACCTCCGTTCCAACCCTCAGCTTCGGCAATTCATGTCACCGTGGGAGCTTGCAGCACATTGAAATGGAGAGATGCCTTCAAACGTGCACTCCAGCTGCCGTGCCCGGCTGTATGTCGAACCTGTCGATGACTCAACCAAAACGAGTGTCGAGAGACTTGGATGCAGGCGAGGAGCCAAACGGGCGGCATAGTCAGCCTGCCAGAAACGCATCAGCTCTAATTAGAGGGATGAGAAGCTCACAGCCTCACTCTCGCCGTCATCTTCAAGGACGGCCTCAGAAGCGGAGCGGTGGTCCCTAACCCTGCAATGGAGTTCCGAGGTCTGCCTCCAGCAGGCGCTGCACGCGAGGCAACTCGTCGTCTTCGGTGCCCTCACCCAACCAGTCACGGACCAAGACCTAAGAGGAAGGCAAGATGAAGCAAAGCTCACTCTGCACTCCGCGCTACACGCGTAGGTTCACGACAGATCCGTTGGGGTGCAGAACGCAGGACACCGGGCTGTTGTCAACTAGCACCTCTGGCTCGGGACATCGCACCGTTCTTAGAATGCCGGGCACTGCCGGGCGCTGCACTCGGCGTTGAAGAAGCTGCTGTTCCTCGTGAGCCACATCAGACCCGAAGCTCGGATCGAAGCCCGAAGCCGAGGGCCCATCAGTCGCATCATCCGCGTCATGTTTGGACGGGATCTGAGACATCTCCTAATCAGGGAGAATGTCTTCGAAGAAGCTTGGAGATCTCTGATCTCGACCCTGATGGGTCCTTGAGGAGGAATCCTGGAATGGCACATGGCTTGCACTTCTCCCTGGTCAGGACCTTCACATGAATGATCTGTGCACACGCATGAGCCCGCGGCCAGGGCTTTTTAAGGATCTTCCTCTGCTCCCGAGACTCTTTGGGGTCCGGGCACGCATCGCGAAGACACGGCCGCCGGGATCCACGTGACGCATCAGGGCCTGACGCTCTCTCTCTCGAGGCCTCAACAAGCCGCAGCTCCGTTGCTGAAGAGGTAGCAAGCCTTGGTATAATTTGGAGTGGAGGTCGTGTAGATCCATGGACCTGCAGGCAGTGTTTGTCTCCGGGTTCCAAACTTGGTCGCCTTCTTTTAAACAAGGCACAGCTCGAACTTCTGAGCTTGCAGTGAGACATGGTGGGCTTCAAGCCTCGACCGATTCCACTGCTGCCTCTTGCAGCCTCCGCTCGTGTCTGGTGCTCTCGCAAGACACAGGTCGCGGAAAGTCCTTGGCACCTCAACGGCGCAACAGGCCAAAAGATGTCCTACTTCGCTACGTCGATCACACCCAGCATCACACTCAGTTTGGTCTCAAAGGGCATTCGGGATGTTCCAGAGTTCCTTCAAGCATGGGAACGCACGACACAGGGCAGCCTGGTGCTCGACTCGTGCGAAGAATAACAAGTCCAGGGATCTAATCACATGGTGCAAGGCGATGACCATGGAATGGCTCTGAGGGTCGAGAACGCCTCTCAAACGCTCTGGTCGTTCTCCCAGATTGTGCTTGATGCGCGACACCACACACGGCAGACAAAGCAACACGACAATGTCTGTGCAGCGAACATATATGAGCAGATGAACACTGGCTCTGTCGCGGCCCTGCAGTTGCCTTCAATCGTATACTCGTGCGCAGACTCGACCTGGCTTGGAGTCAAACTCCTTGCCGTGGCACCGCTAAACCAAAACTTCGCGGCCCCGCCTCTTCCCAGCTTTTCTTTGCATCGTCTGGTCTCAGGATCCCTGCAGCCTTGCACTTGGCCTCAGACACTTAGAGTCGTCAGCTCTACCAGCTGCCACCTCGGAAAAAAAACACCTTGAAGCAAGCCGCGTATACCAAGTGGAACTGCACGTGGTCCTTCAGATAGATGCAAACCTGGGCTCCAACATCAGAGCTCGCACGCTTCCTTCACGATATGAACAGGTCTAGGACCAGTACGTCCCTTAATGGACGTCCGACGTAAAACTGCCCGATGTTTCGGTCTGCGCATGGAAAATCAGTGAAGCCACCACTGTGTCGTGCAGGGTCCGTGCTCCAGGATCTTACTCTTGCGCCAAACTGCAACCCACTTCTTGTCTGTCACTCGTAGCGCTCCGTGACACATCCGAGAGCGAATCCGATCAATCCGGGGCTGGAAGCCATGAAATCCATGAAAGCTCTGCCGGGGGGCGGAAGCCAGGCTGGCCGGAATCCTGTAAGGTCAGATGCAATCTACGCTCGGTGCTGCAATCTCTCCGCCACTGTTAAAGAGGGGCTTAAGCCTAGGCTGCGGCCAGTGCGGCCAGGAAACACGGCTGTCTTGTCTGCCTTGTAAGTCAAAGTCTGGTGCAGCTTCGGACCCGGCGCAAAGTGCACCATGCAAATGTCCATCAACGCCTGCGCCTTCACGAATCTCTTGCAGTCTCGAAACAGCGTAAGCCCTTCCCGCTCTGCCTCGTAGACCTGATACTTCTTCGTGATGGCCGAGCCAATGAAGTGGTCGTAAAAGCGCGCGACACCTCCGGGACATGTCCCCTCCCCGAGCAGTGTCAGAGCCAGGATTTTTTTTCGGCGGGCGGCCTTGGATCTGTTCTCGCTTTGGCAGCAAAACTACCGCTTCGGACAGAGCCAGGGCGTTCTTTTTGCGGACCTCGCCGCTCCTCGGCGAAGAAGGCAGGAAAGTGGAAAGTCACACCCTCTCCCTCGCAGACCATGCGGCCGAAAGCACAGCCCAGATGGAATTGCACGAATCGCTTCTGCCCAACCCGAAGGTGCCTTCCAAAAAAGCAGTGCTCTCACACGAGGACGACCTGCTGCCAAGAGGAATCTACCTGCCTCGCTGGCTTGGACCTTGTTGACATGGCCAGGGTCATGTAGCAGCCTGGGATGCGCTCGCCAGGAGTGGCCAAAAAAAGTGCCAGTTCAGATTCTAGGACCGGTTCATGTGCTCTTCCTGGTCGGTAGCTAGAGCAAAACCTCATCGGATAGTAGTTGCCGAAGGACGGTACTAGAAGACTGAACAAGACATATTGCAGCACACGGCTCCACACCTTTGCGATTTATGTATCCTGGCTGAGCTATGACAGCTATGACCCGTGATGGCCGAAGCCCCGAAAACTGAAGAACATGCGAAGGTGGATGCTCAACTAGCGGAATCTCATGGCCGGAAGTTTGGAGTTTGGGGGAGTCACACTGAATAGCACATTACAGAAAGCACAAGAATCTTGCTACGAGACTTAAACAGCTTGATCCCCGACTTCAGTGCCTGACGTAAAGATCTTCCCTGCCCCAGTGTTGGGAACTTGCCATGCGAACAAGCAGGCAAAACAGAACTCTGCGGTCAAAGTGCGCCGCATATTCGCCGCCGGTAGTGGCTTCTCGCATCTCAGCGACCAGTTTCGTGTCAAGGGTACGTCCCAACATGTTGAGCATGTCCTTGGCTGGTACAGACGACACAGAAGAAAAGAAGAGAGCTGAAGCATGCCCAGTCTCTGCGACCGTTCGAATGTCCTCCACCCAGATCCGAATCCTTCTGATGCAGTCAGTGCAGCGTGGAAAGGAAGCAAGCAATCGCTCGCTAAGATGCAGGCTCTCCAGGCCACTTGCGAATGCTGCCCTCGCTCATGCGAATCTGGGAGGGTCCCAGGTGCGCCCAAAGCCTCAGAATCAGCTGCAGGGCGGCAGTGTGATGCATCGTCCCGGTGCTGGTGCTGGAGGTTGACAGATGTCGCTGCGTCTAGCAGAATCACACATCGAGCAACTCACCGGCGGATTCTCTGTAGTTCTCAAGGGCTCCTAGGCCATTGACCCAGTAGTCCTTCGCATCCTTGGTCCACGATCGGTCGCAAGCTGAACGCAACGAACTCTCAGTTTCAGAGTCTGCGAGCCGGGGCACCACTAGTTTTGGCACCGTGAGGTCAAGGTGGCCTGCAAGCAACAGGGCCGAAGGCCTAGTCCAAACCACAAACCTGGCACTCCTGCCTAGCAGCGGTAAAGAGTCTTTCGGCGGTGGTTGCGAATGCACGTCCCTTCCGCCAGTTCCCAAAACCAGTTTGCGATACCTTGACATGTGAGCGCATGGCGTGTCTTCCAGGCACGCATCTGCACATGCAGCCAGAGTACCACTCCGGCGCTCTTTCCGGCAAGAGCCAGTACTGAATGCAGCTCCTGCCCAGGCGCGGACACTGTTCTATTTCCTCACAAGGCACATCGCCGGCAGCAACACCGTTCTACAGTTCAGACGAGACTCTGGTCCGGAGCACACATTTCCTTTCATGGTCACAAGCATGAAAGAATGCACTGTGGATGTCGGCATTGAGCCTTGAAAGCTCCATGCCAACCACTTTGCACTTCCGACTGCGCAGAACTTGCGATTTGGAAGACGAGTGGCGTGGCATGTCTTCCCGATTCGCCTTAAGATTTCCATGCTGTCGGCTGGAGGATGCTGGACCAGGGTGCGACCATCTAAACAGCTGCGCCAAGTCCAGAACACATCAGACTCAGACAATGGCAGTCGCAGGCAAAGGCGGAACAAAGGAAAAGACTTCTTGGCCTTCAATCAGACCTTCTCGCCGCCTCTCCTCCCAAACACGTAGAGATCACAGGCCAAGTTCACTGAGCGCTGCGCAAACTGCATCCACAAGAAGCTCCTTGATCCACTCCATGAAGCTCCTCACACTTTTTTTCCCAACTCAGGGCTTCGGTGCCTCGCGTCTCCGGGCTCCGCGCTCCACGCCCGGGCGCAGAGCGACTCCGCAGTCGAACCTCGGAGGGGAAGAGAGGGGAAGAGAAAAAGGGAGGAAGCCAAGCCCCCGTGACGGGAGCCGAGGCCGGGGGCCCCGCGTGGTGGCCTTCGGCAGGGCTCCCACTTCGATGGGCACGCGGAAGTCAACTGGCCAAGCAGGGACCAGCATCACCGTGCTCGGCAATGCTCCGCTGTTGCTTGAAAGCTCCCGTCCCCGTCTACAACCATTGAGACAGACAGAAACCCGTCACTCAACACCAATCCAACAAGACCTGAAGGGGAGCTTCTCCTGTAATCTGCGCGATTCACTTCCAGTAGACTGGACATGCCACACACGTGCTTCTGAAAGCTGCCCTGGCGCAGAGTGAAGTCGAACTCAGGCAAGCCACCGACTCTCAGATTCCGGTTGTGGTGGACGCCCTTGCAGCAAACCCGCACCTGGCCCACTCTTCAAAGACTGTCAGAGCGCGCTGTGTGCCCAACGCCGAGAAATTGAAACAGCTCGGGGGTGCCAGCGTCTCATCCAGGTCAAGGACGAGCCTTCTGACGCAAAGGCTGGGCTTCCGTGAAAGTCTGCATCGCTCAGGTGGCCGGCAGTAGCGGCGCTCGCTGCCGCGAGGCGATGCCTTGCAGCGCGAACAACGCGAGCAGCGCGAGCCACGCTTCCTCTTTTGGGTGGTGGCCTGCAGCCCTCCTCACCGCCTGCGCAGCCTGGACCATGGCCACAGGGCCCGGGCCGGAGCATGGCCAAAGAGACAGCGGAAGAAATCTTCGCTTCTTCGCGCGCAGATGAACCGCGCAGATCTTCCCTCGAGTGCTGATCTGCAAACCCCATCGGTGCAACAGCACTTGAAGCTGACGTCGATGTGTTTTCAAAGCCAGAACGGCTGCAGAAAGAAGCCGTCCAAAGAACCCCAAGCACAAACAGCTGCAGCTGCTTTGCAGATCTTCGCAGGCACCTCAGCAACTGGAGTTAAAACCCCATGCTTTGATCAGCAGCGATCTTCTCAAGTCTGTTCCCCTGACTCCTGGAGGCCCCTAGGCATGCCCGAGTCTGCAAATCCCTGTCTTGCGGCTTCCTCCTTCTTCTCAAGGAAGCCCACGAAATATCTTGGAACATTTTGAAGCTCAGCGATGTATCTGTCGGCCTCTCTTGTGAAGCTCCTGAGTGATATGTTGGGGAGGACTTGTGAAGAGGGACGCAGACCGCGGAGCCATAAATGCCAGTGGCCATCGCATGGAAAATGCGGACGGGCTGTTGCCATGGCCAGTTCGGAGCATTTCAGCTGAGAGGCCCGTGGCGGAAAATCAAACAGCCTAGGGTAATTACGCATGCCGAATTCCACAGCTGCTCGTGCATAGGACCAATGCCATATTCTTGCGATCGCCTAGAATACTTCGATTGGTGCGCCCAGTTGACTCTGCTTAGCGGGATGCAACATGCCTCCATGGATTGGAACCCGTTGCGATCGCTTCGCAACAGGCTCCCCACCGTGTTGGCGGATGTGGGCAACCATGGCATCATGACAGCTGGTGGACATTATGAACATGGCCAGGGACATGCACCAGACAAAAATGGGTGCATGAACTGACGGTGTCACTAACTCGGGCTTCACATTACAACGCTAGCTTTTCCGCTTCAGCCAAGAAGGAAGCCATGAAATCGAAGGCAGGTTCACCTGACACAAGGCAGCGAGAACCTCCAAAACAGGAGGGCAAGCTCTGGCCTTCCAGCATAAAGTTCTTCTTCCACAGATCCCACCGCAAACAAGCGGTGGACCTCAGCTGAGTTGGGATGCTCACACTGGACACCGACGTGCCGAGACGTCAGGTGCTGACATGCACGGTGTTCTTCTGCGGGTAGCGTCGGACCTGGGCAGCGGAGGCGAAACTCACGTCTCCTCGGCCCCTTCCTCCGGAGGACCAGGCTCGTCCGATCGCTTGCGCTTCAAAGGCCAGCATCTGAAGACGGGAGATGGAGTCCTCTTCCGCGCGAAGTGACTCTCAGCGGCACAGGACCGGGAGGCCGAGTTGGTTACACGTGTCGGGAGCAACCCAAGGGTGTGTTGGGAACAATTCGAGCGTGTGTCGAGAACGGCCGACGCGCATCGGGAACGGGGCAGGTGCGTGTTCAACATGCGGGGGGATGAGTGAGGAACGGAGTGGGGGTGAGTCAGGAACGGCGGAGTTGTGTCACACAGTAAGAGAGTGCGGGGTTCAGGATTACGTGCATTTTGGACTGTAGACCCAACTTCACAATCCAAGTCTGGGTTCTCTTTCTGGGACGTGTACTTGGGTATACAGTCTCCGTCTGCCGACACTAAGCCCCCTGGCCGCTCCCAACACGCCCCGCCCCCCCGGTGTTCACAACACGTGCGCGCTCAACACCCCCGAGTTGCAACCAACACGACTAACATTCCCGGTTGCACATCCATGATGGGAGCCTTGTCCACTTTAGGGACCGGCCTGCAATCTGTGGGAATGTTGCTATGCATCTCCTTGCAATGCTACGCACGGATTTTCCGTCCTGGCTGGTGGCTGTCGGCGTGCCTGGAATCTGCGAGGAGCTACACTTCCGTGTAGTGTGCGATGCCATGTGCTGCCGCGACATGAGGGTCTGGCAATAAGGATGCACAATCACCACGTGCCGAGCCATCTGCGGATGGGCGCTGAAGTGGGCAAACTCGTTTCGACTTTGTCGAATTGTCGTAACATGTCGTAGCTTCTGCTCCCCGCCTGCAAGTTGATGCCTGAAGAATGTCGCTGGCTGGAGAGGAGGAGCACCTGCAAACAAGCGCGCCCAGCATCAGAGGGAAAACACGAGAAGGCTTGGGTCACCCTCGGCTCGTCGGGGCTGCCAAAGCGACTCAGGACGTCCATGGTGTCTCGCAGCTCACCGACCTCTGACTCTCCAGTCCCGGCGCCTCCCTCCTCGAGCCTCTGCCGGCAAATTTCTGCTCCGAGGCCACTGCCAGGGCCAAGGCTGGCACGCCCTGCTGCTGCAGCACCTCTCGCAAGTAGACCTATCCGTCAGGGCAAAAAGGTTTTCAACGCAGATCCCTTCTCCGAGATGACACTGGCATTCCACACGGGAGTTCCGTAAGATCCTGGCCACATGCGTGGCCCACTGTGTGTAGACAAGCACCCGCTCCTGCCGTGCTGCGCCGTGCTGCGCCGTGCCGCACCGTGCGCACAAGCCACATCACATCACTGCATCAAGTCAAGTTCTGCGTATCGCGGATGTGTTTCGCATATTTTCGCATGCAAAGGTGCCAAGCCTTGGAACTTGGATTTGCTCTAAACAATCGCACCTCCGGGCCAGAAGCCAGCAGCTCCCTGAGCAGCGACAGCAAGCGTTGCAGCTTTGATGGCAGCACCTGCGAGGTGATCCATCAAGCCACGGCTCACAAAGCAACACACAACAACTTCTAGCCGTTGCCTCGCGCTGCACAGAAGCTGCCTCCAGTCCCTGTTGTCGACAGATCAGATAGGCTGCGTGACTCTTGACGCTCGCGACAGCTTAGTGTCGCCTGCCCTTCACAACTGCAGTCTTCGGCATCACCGCAGCCTGATTGATTCTGAGAGTGTCATCACCACACAAGAGAAGGCCGGATTGGGTGAGTTCCTCACAATTCTTCACCATCGTCGGGTCTTCGTCATCCTTCCGCGCGGAGGAGCTCAAGCAGACACAAGCATTAAGTCCTGCCAAAAAAGCTATGCAAGGAGCTGGGGCCTCGTCGACTGTAGGCTCTGGCCTACCAGGTGCGCGAAAGACGACCACGTCCAAACCTTGATGGCGAAGGCTTTGCGAGACCTGATCACCTGTGAAACGCAAGCCTTTGTCCTAGTCTAGAACCTGCGATGCTTGCAGCTCCGGTGCGAAACACGGACGTGCGGCACATAGGACCTGTTTTCATGCAGCAACTCATGGATGACTGGCGACAAGGAAGAATGCACGATGGCACCGAACAATAACTCTTTTCGTCCTTCGACTGATATAAGCGTCTACAACGTCACTCCTCAGCCGCCGGCAGCCAAAAGTTGGATCCATGCCGGCCTGAAACGTATTGGATGTTCCGGCATGTTTGCAGGTGGTCCCGTCACACAGGCCTGCTGCTCCAGGCAGGCACGACACAGAATGTGGAAGCCTCAACAGAAACCAAGGGAGAGGCCACATGGCACACCTTGCAGTGTCTCTGTGGCCCAAACAGTCGGGGAGAACCGCAAAAGCTTCCGTCTCTGCTCCAGACTGGCAAAGGCAAGGCAAGGCAAGGCGTATCACAAAAAGTCGCTCTGACTTCTGCGTGCCTGGAAGCAAACAGGGCAATGAGCCTCGTTCCTGGCACAGGGCGATGCTCCCAAAAGCTCACGAGCTGCAAGAACAAGTTCAGGCATGCTCTGAGCTCTGACGTTGGAGCCTCTCAAGAAGCGCACGCATCTGTCTCGCGAATCGGAGGGAGCGCTCGCAGCGCTCCCGCTCGCCTCGCAGAGCCTCACCACCGAGGTCCGAGGTGCACATGGGTGCAACCACAGGCGCGAAAAGTCAGCCAACAAAAGCTTCGCCTTGAGCTGTCTGTGTAGGGCTGTGTCAACAGCATCATCTGCAATGAAGGCCTCAGCAAGAAGCGAGCCGCGAGCCCAGGCCTTCGCTCTGAGCCTCTAAGCTTCGCGGCTGAGACCAGGCCTTCCTCGACGTCTTTGTCTTCCTCCGGGCTTTCCTTCCGCCAGGGCGGAGGCAACGTATGCACTCGAAGCGGCCAAGTCAAGCACCCTGCGGTCCTGCGCAAGCAGGAGAACTCTCGCGGTCACTGGCCGGTTGGCAGCCACGGAGGAGAAGAGAGCATGCGCCAGGCGACGGCTCACCATGCAGGCCGGGATGCCTTCAGAGGCACATGACACGTGAGCGCGCGTCACCGCGCCACCTTTTGAGCTCGGCCTGGTGGCGCTCTCTCGTGAGGGTAGCCAAAAGGTCTCTCTGACTCTGCAGCAGCGAAGATCACGGCGATGGCACCTGCTGCCTCCGCAGCAAAGCTTTGCTCTGCGACAGCGCTAGAGAACTTCAGGCGTTAAGCATCTGGTGTCTCTCCAATGCCTCAATTCTATCTAGGAGTACCAGACGATTCCGGGTTTCGCTTCGAGGGTTCCTCTGGAGCGATAGACCGGGCCTGCGCAGACGTGGCAGCTGCCGCAAAGTCGCCATCCGCTGGCTCATCGTACAAGGCGACGCAGCCCGTTTCGCCGACTCCCCGGGCCACCGGGCCTCCCAGAGGAGAACCCTCCGAAAAACCGTTGCAAAAGGAGCAGCTGGGCTGAGCGGCGCCTTCGTAGCTCCGGCTCGGAAGGAGGGCGTTCCACTCGGCGGCGCACGCCGATTCGGACACCTCTGTGTGGTGGTGGTTTGCACCCGCTTGATGGCCAGAAACCCATGCCAAAAGGTAGATCGAGAAGAAGAGGTTGGTAGAGGATCACTGATGCTCGACAAGAACAAGTCCCGCTAGATGAATACTTGTCCGGCAAGTCTCAAGCGATAACAAGCCAACGAAAACCTGCATTGAACTTGTCGCTGTGGACTGGTGAGTAGACCCGCCTTAACGGCTTGACTGTGCCAAGCCCTGCGACAGTCAAGCCGTTAAGGAGGGTCTACTCACCACATCCTAGGTAACTGCATCATGCTGCTCTTTGCGAGGGCTAATCAAGCCCTGTCGGAAAAGCGAGATACGGGTTCAAGAGGCGAACTGTACAAAGCAACAAAGTGGGATATTTATCACTGCCTCTTGCTACTAAGCTGCTGGGCCGTCTTGCATTCCTTCCTTGGATGGCAGCGAAAAAGCAAGTCTGTAACAGATTGTAGCAGTATTCGCATCGACCGCAAAGAAGCAGAAGACTGCATCAAACCCTACCTCTGCATCCCCTCCCTCCGCCCTCGGCGTGCCAGAACCGCCCACAAGGCCGAACAACTTCGCTCTCCCTGCACTCCCTTTTCGGAAAAAAGAGCCTTGGACCAAAAAGCCCCAACTTCGGTTTTTGGCCGCCGACGCGAAGCGTTTACAATTACCCGGACAAGAAACCGAAGTAATCCGAAGTAGCGTGTTCAGCAACAACATCGATAGCAAGATTCGCAGTGACACTTACGGCAACCATGCACTCATGACGCAAGAGGAGCAGTGCTGTCTGGAGTAGTTAGATGCGGGAGAGAAACTAGATGAACGCGCACCGTCTCCACTGCAAGAAAGGACAGGTCTGGAGCCATGGCAGCGTCCCCCCCTGCCAACTGGTAGCGCAAGCCCTGCTGGTTCTCGGTAGCCTGCACAAGCAACTGAGGTCACGGTTGGCTCATGATGGCCTTTCAGCGACCGGACGTTTTTTGAGTTTGAATACGACGCCTCCAGCTTAGCGATGTCCTCTGCGAGCTTCTCCAGCTTCTGCTGGCTGCGCTGGGCCACAGTACCCTCCCAGTCCGCCAATGCATGCTCTGCGGGTGGCAGCAGGGACGTGCCCACGCAGTTGTACCTCTTGGCTTCCAGCTGCGCTTTAAGCTGTTTTAGGACTGGCCATAAATTACGTGCAAACATGGGCGAACAGGAGTAGGATTGATGCAGAAAGCTGCACTGCAACTGCATGATTCAGTCCAGGACATAGCGGGAGTGCTGAGAGGCTAAGATGACGACCATCCCATCTGCAGCAGCAGCTGATCTCTCTCCTGCAGGCAGCTCTGCTTTCGTTCTACCTTGATTGATTGGTTGATTGATTGATTCATTGATTCATTGGTTGATTTCGGATGCTTGGTTGATTGGTTGATTGGTTGCTTGGTTGCTTGGCTGCTTGGTTGTTCATTGACTGACTGCCTGACTGAGTGCTAGATTGATTGATATTGATTGATTGCGTGGGTGCGAGCACCCTTGCATGTGCAAGGCAGTGAAGGCTGCTCCGCGACTACCAGTACTAGAAGAGCTGGGCTCCAACACTGGCCTGAGCTGCCGCGAAGGCTGTGCCGGCTCCGAAGGAAAGGAGCAGGACACTGTCCTTGCAAACCCGGACAGGTTGGACCCACAGCATCGCACAGAATCCCACAGAATCCCACGGCTCCAGGACGAAGCCGGCGAGGTTGGCCACTGCAGCGTCGGTGCTTTCCCGGGGCCGGAGCACCACGGGCTGGCAAAGAGCGCGGCTCTCCACAGACCACAGACTCTCTCTCTATCCGAGGTCGTAAGGATATCGCAGTCGCAGCGTTCTATGCTCAAAGTCCGGGGTTACTGTAACTGCGTGGAACGGCCTTCGCCTCGCAGTAGGATTGACTCAAGCTTTGCAGAGACCATAGGCGATTGCAGTCGTAATGAAGGGTCTGCAAGAAGCCGAAATGAAATGACGCAAACTCCGATCCCAGGTTTACCCTAGACCCTCAACAGCTCCCCGAAGTCCCCACACACCCAGACCAAACCCCTCCCTAGACCCGGAAGCAATCGACCTCATTGTGCCACTGTAGGGTCGGCCGCGGTAGACAGGCCCAGGGAGGATCCGCGAGGAAGCGCGTCCGGATGAGGTGAGCTAGCTGTGGGAAGCCTTCACGGGCGGAGAACTTTTTCACACCCGAAAAGGCTCATCATCCTCACTTTCTCGCTTGGGGTCTTTTCGCGCACTGTTCAGATCCTCAGAAGGAAGAAAAGACTTTTCAGAAGGCAAAACACAAGCTAACCGGTCATACAGGGTTTGTTTCACGCCCTGGGTTTGGGGGTTTAAGGCCGAAGGAACACAAGAATCTTTAAAGAGGCAAAAAAACCCTATCAGTGTACAATCCTTTTTTCGCGCCTTGGGTTTGGGGTCTAAAGCCGAAGGAACACAAGAATAAAGAGACATGAAGCAAAAAACAAAGAGACGGAAAGACAAAGAGACGGAGAGACACAAAGACAGAGACACAGAAGTAGCTGGAAAGAAACAGAGGGTGACAGAGGGAAAGACAGACTGACAGACAGACACAGACAGACAGACAGACAGACAGACAGACAGAGAGACAGAGAGACAGAGAGACAGAGAGACAGAGAGACAGAGAGACAGAGAGACAGAGAGACAGAGAGACAGAGAGACAGAGAGACAGAGATACAGAGAGACAGAGAGACAGAGAGACAGAGAGACAGAGAGACAGAGAGACAGAGAGACAGAGAGACAGAGAGACAGAGAGACAGAGAGACAGAGAGAGAGAGAAAAAAAAAACAACGAGAGAGGGAAACCGAGCGCGACGAGGAAAAGCAGAGGGGAGAGAAAGAAGAGAAGAGAAACAGAGAAACAGAGCGAAACTACCGAATATTAGAACCACGTTCGTGGAGGTACAGATAAGACCCTGGACAGGCCGGAGGGCTTGCTTCGGACTCTGTCCATGCATGCTCGAGAAGGGGCCTACCCAGCTTGCTTCGGACTCTGTCCATGCATGCTCGAGAAGGGGCCTACCCAGGGCAGAGACAAAGCCTTTCCGACAGTACCAGAAAAAACTACGGGAGCCAAAAACAACCCAGCCCGCCGCGTGGGTACAAAAAGTACGATACTCCCGGACTGTCCCCGAAGTCTGCGAGTCGGCTGCCTGCGCTTTGCTGCCTTGCGGGGCCCGGCCTGTCCACTCGGATTGGCGCCAGGCCACATGCCAGTTCCGCCGGCCCAGAAGCAGAGGCCCGATGGACTCCAGGTGGGAGGGAGCAGTGCCACAGAGCAGCCAGATAGCGGCTCCTGGCAGAGCCAGGAGTCCCATCAAACTCAGAAGGACGAGATAAACTTGCTCAGGGATGCCATCATCGCGAAACCCATCCGCAAGAGCCAGCAAAGACTGCCAGTTCTCCGATCCCGGACAGTCCTTGCATTCCCCAACACAGACGCACAGCGCTCTGAAAAGCAGGCATCAAACGATAGTACTATGGGATGACGCTGGAAGACCTAAACGGAGGTCTTGCTTGCGACGTGGGCAGACAGTCACGCCAAGACAAGGAGCTCTAAACGACATAGGACCTACGAACAGGATAACATCCTGCATCATCCTGCCAAGTGTGCTACCGAAGCTTGCAATGTCAGCGCTTTGCAAGGCAGTCTCCTGCGGCTCGTCGATCACCAGCCGGTGCCACTTGCCAGCTTCGAAGATGATGTGTTCCACAGACTCATAGTCCGTGACCTGTTGTACAGTAAATGGAACTCTGACGATTTCCGTTGGACTTGAAATGGATGCAAAAGCTCTAAAAGTCCAGACAGTTAGTCGGGGATCATTGGTTTGAAGGTGTGTTGTATAGTAATGGAACTCTGGTGATTTCCGTTGGATTTTGTATGGGATTTGCATACAGTTGAAAGACACTGCAAGTCCGTGACCTGCAAAGGCTCCAGCGCATTCTCACCCTTCCCCGTTCGGGCAGCCGGTGTCGGACTTTGCTGTCGTGGCAGCACTGCACACATTAACGATTGTGCATCGGTGGCCTCTGTATCGACAGCGCCTTGGCCTTGCAGCTCCTGCTGCCATTGGCGAACTAAATGAGCGGGGCAAACAATCCTCAACTGAAAGCTTCGCAAGTCACCGTGTACGGTGCACATGAAAGTGGAGGCTGCGGTGCAGACTTAGCGGGGGGAGATGCACGGAAGTTTGTCTCGTCGCTTAAAGTTCGGACCAGTGGCAAAGTCAGCTTCGGCTCTGCCGCCTGTGGCACCACCAGAGCCTCGCAGGGATCAGATCGCTTTCGCTCAACGCTGCTCGGTGCCAGCAAAGATCTGCCTGCGGCGGATGCGGTGGCTGCAGCTGCGGCGAGGGCGAGCGCGGCGAGGAGTCTCCACAGAGCCACTGCATCCACTTCCCCTCAGCAGCAAAGCGAGAAGCGGATTCAACGATGGAACCCTTCACACGAGGTGTGAGACGGGCGGCCAGGATCCGCAGGTCGGCTGGGCGATTCTCGGAGAGGACCCGACCTAAGCGCGCACACTCGGCGCCACCATACGCCAACTCCTTCCCTTGCCATCGGGGGGCCCTCGTGTGCCTCCCGGCCGTTGTCACGGGCAGCAAGGGCTGCCACAATACGCGTTTTGCCTGCCAGCAAAAGCCATGCTGCGAAGATTCAACAAGATGCTTACTTGCTGCATCCAAGTCTCCTGAACCAGGAGGGTGTGCCACTACACCCCCACATGGGAGGGTCAAATCGTAAGAGGAGCCCAGGCTGGTACCTGCGAAGCGCAACGGCGCCACCTGCCCAAGAGCATGCTGCTCCACACACCCTGCGTGAACGTGCGTAGGTCCATGGCCCATGCCTGCAAGGGCTGCGCTCCTCTTTGTTCGATGCCTTGCATCCATGTCACTGTGGCAACCTGCAGGCGCGGGTGACAGAAACAATTAAGGTAGTCCAGCATAAACCTTGCTTCGCAAGCATTAACAAACTGTGAACCGCCGGATCTGCAAAAACATTCTAAGCTGGAAGGGGCTTAAGCAACTCGTCAGAGTGGATTTGAAGCGACACATGCAGTGTTAGCTTGCACTGGCTAGTTGCTTCGGACGGTTCGGGGCACCACTGCGTTCCACCCCTGTAGTGCTGCAATACAGATTTGCACAGCCATGCGATATTGCCGGCGTAGATGTTTAATGTGTGACTCTGCCTCAGATGGCTTGATGCTTCCAAAGGCTGACTGACAAGCGCTAAAGTGTCTCTCTCACGAGGGCGCTGGTTACTTGTTCTAACTTGTTGTTGCTGCGACGCACGTGAATGTGGCTGTTCTTTTGTTTCATTGTGTGTACCGGTGCAGCACTTGGAATACAAGAACTGCAAGACTCTGCAAGACTCTTGCGTGACATAATTTGCATCCTGGGCATAACAACCAAGGCACAAAAGACTCGGCACCAATGGCTCAAGTTGGTTTGAGTTTGGGCTGGTAAGTTGCGGCTGCCACCAAGTGAGGCGATCAAAGCTTGCAACTAGAGATTCATGCAGGAGCGATGGCAAGAGCAGCATGTGCTGAAGCACACAAAACTCGCCTGGTGAGGGAAGAGCCCACTTTCATCCACAGCAGCACCACGCATCTCTTCTGGAGCAGGCCTGGCCATCAAAGGCACAAAAAGGCACCACAGGCCATTTATGCCTTCTACGACCCTGCGTCATTGGGATCCATCCCTCTTTCCCAAAAGCATCCGTGTTTTCCTGCAAATCAAGACCACGGCACCACTTGCCGATACACCCACACCTGCCCCAACCCTCTGTCAAAAACGGGAGTGATGCACCCGTGTGAAACTATGACAAAATTTCTGCTCCCGGATGGGGTAGCTAAAGGCCTGCAGCAATTGCGTCTGTGCACAGGGTGTATATACAAATTCGGGAGGCTCTCTGAATAAGCCGAGGTTCAATTCGGGAGTGAGTGGATGCCACAGTAGTTGTTTCCCGACTGGCCGTGATTGTTTCCCGACTCAAAGTTCCTGATTTGTGGTCCCGACTTCGGCAGCATTCCTTGAGGATTGGTGTTTGAAAACAAGCCAGAAAGCTTGAACTGGCAAACCTAAACCCTGAACCCTTGAAGTCCCCAAGCCCTCAACACGCGACTCCACTCGACAAAAGCTAAGCCCCCCAAAGTGGCCATCTAACACTGGCCAGTGCCTACTGCTTTTGACCTACTCCTACGTGTACTTCTTACCACGACCACAAGCACGACCACTCCGATACTCCTCCTTCTTGTACAGCTGCTACCGCTACGACGATGACTGCAGGATACTGCAGGACTACAACAAGCTGAGGGATTTAACAAAGGTCCTGGGTGTTGTGATCTGAGATTACGCACCCGATGTCAGAGCCTCTGCAACAGGCTCTCGGCGAAG